TCATCTGAGAGCCGAGCCTTCTGAACAAGGATGGGGTTTGGCTGTGGAGGAGGCGGTGGCCATCACTGACTGGCTGGGCCGAGGTGTCCAGTCCACGCTGGCGCATGCCATGCCCCAAGCAGGGATTGATTTTTTTTTTTTTGCAGTGCTTTGCTTTATCTCAAGGACAACCAACCCCAGAACACATCAATCCAAACTGTCATTTTATGTCAGGACCAATGTGACTCAGATTTCGTAAGGAACTTGGCAAACACAAGCAGTATGTTCAAGTTAAACTTGAAGGTACTTTCTGCACTCTTCTGCACACTCTGCCATCAGTGGATGAGTGTTTTAAACTTCCATTACTTGGTTTGTGGTTTGTGTTGCTTTCTCTGCCTTCCTGTTCACCAGATCCTCTGTGACTAAAATCAGGGGTTTCTGTCTCAGGGTCTTATAGGTGCTCTCTGTGTGCCAAGGAAGGAATATTTTTTTTTGGCTGTAAATCTAGCCAGCATGGAGATCAAATTAAAGAGAAATGGCCCACCCTTTCCAGGCTCATGAACTGCGTTATTTATTTATTTTTGACATAGAGTATCACTATATAGATAGAGTTCAGGCTGGCCTCAAACTCATGGTGGTCCTCCTGCCTCAGCCTCCTGAGTGCTGGGATTATAGGTGTGCATACCTGGCAAAAGTGTTTATCTTTTTAATCAGCTGATTAAAATGGATTGCTATCATAGTGAATTATATATATTTTTAATCACTATGCAGCCAGGGGAGAGATTTTCCATTGATATGCAATAAATTCAGACTTTTTAATGTGGTTAAAAGTTAAATTATTGCTGGGTGTGGTGGTGCATGCCTATAATCCCAGCACTCAGAAGACTGAGGGAGCAGGATCAGCACAAGTTTGAGGCTAGCCAAGACTATAATAGTGAGTTCAAGGCCAGCGTGAACTACAATAGCAAGACCCTGTCTCAAACAAACAAACAAAAATAAAACAAAGCAAAAATCCAAACCAAAAAAACCAAAAAACCCCAAAACCAACCAAAAAAGTTAAATTATTCCTCTTGAAACTAATATAAATCTCATAATTGTGTGTTAATTCAGCAAATATTCACTGAGCATTTGTTCTGTACCAAACACACCAGCGATGCAGCAAGGACCGAGACACCCTTCATCTCTTCCCAGGGAGCACAGGATGGGGCCTGCAGACTGGGCCTGAGGCAGAGGACACAGGGACACTTCAAGATCCTGCAGCCAGTGTTCTACAGTGCTGGCTACAGGAGGCCAATATGTCATTCTTATCAGAAAAGCAATGGAGCCATAACTACGTGCTCCCAGAAGAAGACTAAAGAAAAGAGGCCAAAATAAACCTCTCTTTAAAAAGTAGATTCATGGGGGCTGGGGATTTAGCTCAGTGGTTTGGTTCCAAACTAGCCACTTGAGAAGCACATAGCTAATGGTAATCATTGTTATTATCAAAAGTTGCTTTATAAACCCCAAAAAAAAAAAAAAAAAAAAAAAAAAAAAGTAGATTCATGGTACGAGATGAAAGAGGAAGAATTTAAATAGAGGAAAATGACCGGGCAGTTTAGAGAAGGAGATTAGAGGAACAGAAGGCAGAGCAAGACTCAGGTGCTTATTTTTGGCCCCGCCTGTTATACCAGGCAGTCCCTGGCAAACCCACTTAGTTTTAAAGAAGCATTTGTAAAATCCCTGGGGTAGGAGGAGCCGAATAAAGAACGAGATGGTTTCCAGAGAAACGAGGTCGAGGAGGAAAGTTGGAGATGACATCGGATGAGGGGTGGAGGTGCTGAGAAGATTTCAAAATTAACAGTCAACCAGAAGTCGAGAAATATTTACTGATGGTGCAGAACAACATGCTGTCATGAGCAAGGTAAAATCACTGGCCACGAAGGCTCCACTCTATGTTGTGATCCTGGGTTTCTTCAACCTCTCATATATATATTTGTTTGTTTTCCTGGTACCAGGATCAAACTCAGAGCCTTGCGCTTGTGAAGCAGGAGGCAGCGCCACTGAGCTAAATCCCTGGCCCACTTAAACCACTTAAATTTCATCGCTGTCCAATCAAGATCTATTAATGATAAATGGTACCTGAATAAGAAGCAACCAAGCCTAAAATGTACAAATCAGGGCGCTTTTCTCTGGGGTTGTCTCAACACAATTCACTGCCAGTTTAGGAAGCTGAAATCTTTAGTAAAGTTCTAAGAAGCAACAGCAAATGTTAATTGCTAGTTGGAAATGGTATCACAGCGAGTTAGGGTACAGACACTGAAATATTACAAGAGAAATATAAAGTAGTGGCTATATCAAAGAAAGCCCGTTTTTCTTTTTCTTGTTTTAGTGTTTTGAGATAGAGTCTTGCTATATAGTCCAGGCTGGTCTTGAACTCATGGTGAGCCTCCTGTTTCAGCCTCCTGAGTGCCAGGATTACAGGTATGTGCCACCATGCCCGGCCAACCCATTTTTCTAAAAGCATAATTTGTAAGTCAGAATTCTGAGGAGGAAATTGTTTATAGTCAGCAATATTCACCATTCAAGGTCTTCTGATTTATTGTCATGCTTAGCACAATGTGGTAATGCAGATCACACAGATGTCCTAAAATAGTCACTAAAATAGAACAAGAGAAGCCAGTTTTCTGGACCTAAAAGTTTTCAAAGCAAAATAAAGCAAAAACAGATGCATCCTTTTCAGAAGCAATAGTTTATAGACTAATACAGTTTATATAAACTATATAATATAGTTTATGAGAGAAAAGAGACTATTTTGATTCTTGTGTCCTCAGACTACAGGTAAAAAAAAAGTCTATGGATACAGAAGGATGTCTTTATGATTGTCCTCCAACTGTCCACTGGTCTGGTGCTTTCCTAGGCTAGCACCCTTACCAATGGGTGATACTGCATCTTAGACACTTTGTGACATCTTCACTATCATTTTTGAAGGCAGCAATGGACAAAATGATATCATAATGTGGTTATTGTTCCATCTCCTACAACTTCTTCAGAATCAACACCTGCCAACCTAACGCAGGCATTCTATCCCAGATGACCCCTTAGTTTCCTGAGTTTCATTTATGCAGCTTGATTTTCAGCATGCACGGCAAAGAATGAAGTCTAAGATCAGTTGTGTAGTGAACTACCTGAACTGTAACAATTCTCAGAACAAAAATTCTAAGACGTCTGAGGCACAGCATACCCCAGTGCTGGCCATGGCATGCCTGCTGCAGTGGGCACGCAGAGCCCTCTCGGTTGGCATGCAAGCCCAGTCACCCCAGCATCACCCTGGCAGCCAAGTGTTCAGGTTTAGTTGCAGCACTGGCACTTTGCAATAAGTAAGTGGGTTTTGGATTGCAGTTTGGGCACTCAGTCTCTAAAAGGTTCACCATCACTGGCGTAGTCAGATGCTTCTAGAAACTTGCCCAGTTCCTGCTTCTGGCTCCAAAGATACTCATGATGGAGGGTTGAGGGAATTCTTACTGCACTCAACTCATGGAAGTTCACATTAATGAGTACTCATGGCTCAGGTAATTAAGAGAAAAATCCTCCCCATGAGTTGGACAGAGGACTAACCTGGATTTACCTACAGAGTAACCACAAGAGTAAAATCAAGCAGCTCCTGTATAGAGCCGGTATCCTTTCTACAGGAGTCTAATGCTACCTCTCTGCTTTGTAAAAGACAGGCTAAACACAGCCCTTATTTCAATGCCACTTTTAAGGACTAACAACCACAAACGTGGTGACAGTGTCATAGGAAAGTAAATCTGTGCTGCACAGAGTGACTTTTATGGAGCTTGAAGGTAATTGTTACACAGCTGAAAAAGGCTGTGAGCTTCAGGAAAATGTGTAGTCCTGGAGAGCAGAGCTTTGGTTCTAGTCCCAGCACAAACCGCTGCATGACTGGGCCTCATTTCCTCTCTAGGAGAACCAGAAGCGGGTGATGCTACTTGGGCCTCTCAGAAACAGATGTAATTTGGGGAAATAGTAATATGAAGAGTACTTGGAAGCTTAAATATTCTGCTTCAGTTCAGCAATTTAAAACCAAAATCTGAAGACCTTAAGTGGCACATTTTCAAGAGTTCACTTAGGACTGGCCCAGTGTACAACATAATAGTAAAGCATTGTACAGCCACAGTTCCAATAGGAGAGGAAACATCGTGGAAAATAGATGTGCTCAGGGGAACCTGGAGTTTTTTTTTTTTTTTTTTTTGTACCAGAGATTGAACTTGGGACCTTTTGCTTTTGAGGCAGGTGGTGGAACCGCTGAGCTAAATCCCCACATTTAAAACTGATCACTTGATCTAGAGACTGAGACAGGGGAATGGTGAGTTCAAGCTGGCCTGGACCCCACACTGAGACCTTGTCTCCAAACAAAACAAATGAACCCCATTTGATTATCAAAAGCATAAAAAAATGGTGCCAGTTAGCCAATGCTCAGTCTATCTTTTGTTTGCACAATGTTCACTCTTCAGCGTCAAAACTTGTCAGGAAGCAAGGAGCTGTGTAGGGTGGAGCGCAGGATGTTGCCCAATGACCATTCACACGATTCAGTCTAATAAAGGATCTAGAGGAATGGGCGATCAGACTTCCAGGTGCACCTGAGGCCGAAGGAATCAAAAGAAAGACAGCTTGGAACCTCAGTGTTCCTTTGTTTTATTTATCTCAAGGCTCAGATAGGGAATTATCACAAAGACTTAACGGTGTTGGCCTAAACTGAGCTGCAGATTGCTGCAACGGGCAACAGATTCCTCTTTCTCCTTGTATACTGCTATCTATCATACTAGTTTCTACAATTTCAGTTACTTGTGGTCAATCAGGATCCAAAATTACTAAGTAGAAAATTTCAGAAGTAAACAATTCATAAGTTTTAAATAACTTTTATTTAGCATACCATTATAATCATCTCATTTTGTTATTAGTTATTGTTAATCTTTTGGTGTGCTTGCTTTTCAAATCAAACTTTAAAAATCTATCACACCATCTGAGTCCGACAATCTTACCTGCTGGTTTGATCTGACGTCACTGAAACTCATTTTCTTCCCCAAGTCTAGAATCACTGCATTCTTAGTTTCACGAATGTAATCATCACTCAGTGGTTGAGAAGACTTGGAGTTTTTCTTCATCAGTCCCTGGGAAGGCCTGTAAAATATGCTTATATCAACAAACTCATGAAAAACTGCAGTCAGCATACAAAGGCCCAGAGATGGGAGTGGTTGAAATGACAACCAGACACAAGCTGTCATTAGGCATGTAGGGCATTGAGCACAGTACAGAGGGGTCTTTTCTATTTTAATATAAACTATATTAGAATAAATATAAATATCTTTTAAATTATTAAAAATTATTCATAGTAATCATGGGCTTTGGTCTGGAGTATTTAATATCCATCTTGTGTCTAAAAGATATGATTATCTAGGAATTTACTGTTACAGAACGAGCTATTCTATGCATATTAATAGAATACTCTCAACTGGCCTCTTCCTTTTTGGATTTGTTTTGAGATAGGGTCTCACTATGTAGTAGTTCAGGCTTGCCTTGAACTCCCTATGTAGCCCAAGCTGGCCTGGAACTCACAGGGATCCTCCTGCCTCAGCCTCCCGAGTGCTGAGATTACAAGTATGCACCATCACGCCCGGCTTCGAATGGCATCTCTTACACCAAGACCCCTCAAATGACACTTACACAGATGGTGCGCTCTTTGGCAGCCCCATGGCATTAGTGGGAGGGATGGCAGGAAGAGAAGGCAGGACAGAGCTGAGGAAAGCCACAGGGTTCTGAATCCGGCCGGTGGGAGAGACAGGAGTTGGGGGCACATAGTGGGGCTGAAACTGGTTTCCGCTGGGGATGGAGAACGTGAGTGGTGGCGGAGCTGGCTCTGCTGGGGCTGGAGGGGGTGTCTCGTTGTGGATGGAGAGCCCGCCTGGAGATTTGGTTTGCATGGAGGGGGTAGAAAGTAAGAGGCTTTCCTTGCTCACTGTCCTCTGCATCGTCTGAGGCGCGCTGCTCAAGGTGAACACTGGAGAGCCGGAGGGGGACATGGTGGCCGCGATGGTGCCCGAGGAGGGGAAGAAATGCTTGGGCCTGGCCAGGTTGAGCGTCTGCGAAGCAGGAGCCTTCAGCTGGGCCGCTGCGGGGGGAGCCGCGGAGTTGGCCAGGTTCGTCGTGTTGAAAGGAAACTCCTTGGGCGACGCAGGGGCCTGGTTCTGCAGCTGCTGCTGCTCCAGCAAGACTTGGTTGTGAAGCTGTTGTAATTGAGTGAAATCGCTGCACACAGAACAGGGTGGGGAGAGAAGAGGGCCGTGTTACCCCAGCCTCGGCTCTGCGGTGCACCGGCTTGGTGCTGGCTACAAAGAACACACTGAAACTGCAAGAAAGCCAGTGCGACTCGCTGTCGAGCTGTTGGGCTTTCCGTCCTGCTGAGGGCGCCACGCGTATCGTAAGCTTTGTGTTGTGAACCCGGAGTTGTGCAACGTGCAATGTTTATGAGTTAGAAAAATGTTCCTCTTGCTGGCAGTGCTTGACCTTCTGATGACCAGGGCGCCATGTGGCAGCTTGGGGACTGAAGCACGGAGCTGCACACAAGTGTGGGTTATTATGAGGCTGGATTCACTAAGAAAGCACACACTGTCGGGCACTGTGCCTGGCCTGGAACCCAGGACCTCGCACACGCTAGGCAACCCTTCCACCACTGAGCTACACTTTGAGTCCTCTCCTCATCAACGAGGCTGGATGCCCCTCGTCCTCCAGAGCCCATCCACAAAGCTCTGTAGGTAGGGTGACCGCCTGTCCTGTTCACTGAAGACGCTGGTTTCATGCTTGAAAGTCTGAGTTGCTTGTGGGACATGGGGGGTGATCTGTCTGGGTGCTTGGGATTGAACCCAGGGCCTTGTACATGCTCAGCTCACACACTCTATCATTGAGCCACACCCTCCAGCCCTTTGATTTTTCCTAACTTTAGAAAAAATCAGTATCTGGCTATGTAGTTCACGCTAGCTTTGGGCTTACTAAATAGCCCAGGCTAGCCCTGAGCTTGTGGTGATCCTCTTGCCTCGGCCTCCCAAGTGCTGGAATTACAGGTGTGAACACCATGCCTGGCCTGATTTTTCTTAATTCTTCGAGTTTACAATCTTTTTTCTTTATTTCATTCACATGCCCAATGTAAAAAAGGAAATTCCACAAATAAAGGTCAATTTCCACTTCTATAACTGCTGTGGAATGCTGCATGCTGAATAAGCCTTTGTTCATCTTATGAAAAAAAACTCTTGTTGAATTCAGCTAAGAATTCAGGCATATTGGCCACTTGGCACAGCACCTCCCCGTTTTATTTTGTTTTATTTTTTATTTTTTGTGGTGCTAGGGGTTCAAACTCAGGGCCTCACAAATGCTAGGCAAGCACTCTATCACTGAGCTTTTTCCCATTTTAGAAACAACGATTTAAGCTGTGAGAATAAAGTAGCACAATTAAAATGTAACTAAACCTTTCCTTTCTTCATAATTGAAAGATGAAACAGTCAAAAGAAGCAATAGTTTTGTTGGATGTTCCACAGAAAAAAATAGAGACAATAAACATTGTTTCTGTTGGTGTCGACTTTCTCCATGGTATGCAAGTAAAAATCTTTGTTTTTAACAGATCTCATATTTGACAAGTCACATTCTGATTTTTTTTTCTTTTGGAGACAAAGTCTCACTGCTCAGGCTGTCCGTGAACTTACTATATAGCCCAGGCTGGCCTCAAACTCTTTGTGATCCTCCTGCCTCAGCCTCCCACATGCTGGGATTACAGGCGTGTGCCACCAAGCCGGGCTTGGCAGATCATATTCTGTGATTGATATAAAGAGTGTTATATGGCTTTTAGTGTACGTTGTAGTCTGAGTAAATTTTAATCTGATGACCCTGGGGAAATATTTTACTGTGGCTATGGGATTTGCAAAGATGTGCATGAAAAAGTAATGTTAGAAAGAAAGGATGATACACAGGGCCCAGGAAATCATTCAGTATTGAATTGTTCCTATTTTCCTTTACTTCCCATTGAATTCAAGCTGCTTCTGTTTTCTCCTGTGAGTTAAGATCTTTAAATAGCACGCTAACCTCAGTATTCAGTGTAATGTTTTAGATTATAGAGAACTGCCAACCTTAAAATGATGTATAACTGTAGTGTTAAATTATTTTGATTGGAATTCTGGGGCAATTTATTTGACAATAAAGTCTTTTGTTTGAACAGGTTTTTTTTTTTTCATTAAAAAAAAACCTTCCTTTTTATGTTGTTTCAGGAGAAATTCAAAACAGATGTTTAGATTTTATTACTCATTATGTCAAGGCAAGGTGTTGATTTTGCTCTTCAGGGAACTTTTATTGAGTCTTCTTTGTGTGTTTTGCTAGGTAGGAGGTGCAGATCCTCCTGAGACAGTATGAGCTACTGAGGCCCGCCAGCCCGGTGAGGTACAGGTTCCTACAGTGCTGATCTCTAACAGCCACTGGCTACTTTTGAATAGCGTGGGGAACTTAGCTACCATTTTCTAGTAAAGGTACAAAGTACAATGAAAGGAGGAGCGAAGGGAAGATTAATTACAAGGCATATGAGATTTAAACTCCTGAGTAAGCCCTATCATTCAAACTAATAGCTTGTCATAAGTTGCTATAAACTCAGTTGCTCATTTTTTATTGTTCCGAGGATTTCTGAAATCAGGTTCTTTCCATAGATTCAGCAACTCTCTTTCCTTAATCCCTTTTTGCCAAAATTTAGTTTAAGCATATGGACTCTGCAGACTTAGGTCCTAATCCTGGTTCAATTACTCTTATTTTTTTGATACAGGGTCTCTATGTAGCTCAGACTGACCTCACACTTGAGGTGATCCTCCTGCCTCAGCCTTCTGAATGCTGGGATTACAGGCATGCACCACCTGCCTGGCTCAGCCACTTATTATTTGTATGATTTGGGGTTGTTTTTAGACTTTTCTGACCCAGATTTCTTTATAAGTAAAATATAACATCTATAGTGCTGTTATGAGAATTGATAAATCACTTAAAGCATATAAGTGATTGAGAAATGGTGGCTATTACATTTTTGTAGCTTCTGAACCACAAAAGTCCAATTTCAAGATTTGTTAAGAATGATTAGTTTCAGGGCCGGGGATTTAGCTCAGAGGTTCTGCCACCTGCCTTGCAAGTGCAAGGACCCGAGTTCAATCCCCGGTACCAAAAAAAAAAAAAAAAAAAAAAAAAA